ATGCTCTGTCTCTCTCTTCTCAAAAATAAATAAACGTTAAAAACTTAAAAAAAAACAACAAAAACAGAAAATGACAAATGTTGGTGAGGATGTGTAGAAACAGGAATCCTTGTGCATCATGGTGGGAATGTAAAATGGTACTGATGTTGTAGAAAAGAGTTTGGCAGTTTCTCAAAAAGTCAAACAGAGAATTACCATATGACCCCACAATTCCGTTCCTATGTACCCAAAAGAACTGAAAAAATACATCTATACAAACACTTGCAGATGAATGTTCATAGCAGAATAGCCAAAATTCATAATAAGCAGAAAGTAGAAACAACCCATATATCCATCAACTGATGAATGGATACATGAATCATGGCACATCATTTATCCAATGGAATAGGACTCAGCTGCACAAAGGAGTGAAGTGCTGACGCATGCTTGGATGTGTGTATGGAGGCATGACTGCTGGAAACATCACGCTAAGTGGAAGAAGTCAATCACAAAAGGTCACATAGTGTATGCCTCCATTCATATGAAATGCCCAGAATAGGTAAATCCACAGAGAAAGTAGATTCGTGGTTGCCAGGGGTTATGGGTAGGATGGCTACAAGGCTTCTTTTGGGGATGGTGAAAACATGCTGGAATTAGACGGTGATGAGGGTTGCATAGTCTTGTGAGTACACAAAGAACCAGTGAATTATACATACTCTTTAAAAAGAGTCTATGGCTAGTCTTTATCTTCTGGCTGTGAGAAAAAGAACCACAACCAAATATACCCGGAAAATGAATAATAAAGCAAGCATAAGTAAACGGGCTAGCTTCACCTGAGTGGTTTAGCTGTGGTGAAATGTCCTGCTGGAACAAGCAATCATGTTCTTCTGCTGTTTTCTTAACAGAATTCTTAACCTTCTCAGCTCTTTGGGCACGCTAGAGAAAACAAAAACAGCTTACGGAACAAATTTAAGACAAAGAAGGTTTATCTTAAAGCTTTATTATTAGGAAGAATTGTTTGTATATAGTTCATACTGTGATACCTCAATTTGAGAGAATAAGATTCACTTACCTGGAGGCGGGCCAGCGTCTTGCTGTATTCCCTTTTCAAGAATGCTAACTTTTCCTTCAACTGGAAGAAGAAAAACAGCAAACAATGCTGAGCAGGTGGAAAGAAAGAGTCAGAGGGAAGGGACACAGTGTCTATCAGACCCGAGTGTGCAGGGCTTAGAAGGTCCCTCAGCAACAGACGGCGGAGGAGTAGCAGGCACCCACACTACTTTCACTTCTCACAAAGCACCAAGCTTTCCAGTATCTTAGCACCTTTACATAAACTGTTCCCACCACCTGAAGCATTTCCTCCCCAACTCATTTTGCTAAGTCCTTCTGATTCCTCAAGCCTCAACTTAATTTTACTTCCCTTGGGTAGACTTCTAGGTCCTTCCCGAAATCAAGGTTAGACATGCCACCTCTCTGCTGTGCTTCCTTTATCACAGTACTTATTATATCCACTATGCTGTCTGTTTACTTCTGTTCCCCCTTCTCACTGTGAGATCCCTGGCAGCAGGAGCTGGCATCCTCAGACACTCAATCAACAAATGCATCTCTTGTCAGGTATAAACACCGTGTGTCAGTTATTGTTTCAGGTGCTAAAGATAGAGTGGTCAAGCTTAGGCAGAATGAGGGATGCAGATAATTAACAAAAAAACGCATACACAGATAAGATGTATCACATGGTAATCAGTACCCAGATCAACAGGGAGATGTGAGAGTGCCTGATCTACTTTTTTTTTTAATTTTTAATGTTTTTTTATTATTTTTGAGACAGAGAGAGACAGAGCATGAACGGGGGAGGGGCAGAGAGAGTGGGAGACACAGAATCCGAAGCAGGCTCCAGGCTCTGAGCTATCAGCACAGAGCCCGACGCGGGGCTCGAACCCACGAACCGTGAGATCATGACCTGAGCTGAAGTCGGACGCTTAACCGACTGAGCCACCCAGGCGCCTCTGCCTGATCTACTTTAGGTAGCGTGGCCAGAGAGGCATTTCTGAGGACTACCATTTGAGCCCAAACCTGAAGGAAGAAGAAGCTGGCTTTAAGAAGATCCAAGAAAGGGGCACATTTGAGCCCAAACCTGAAGGAGGAAGGAGCTAGCTTTAAGAAGATCCAAGAAAGGGGCATGTGTGTAGTTCAGTCGGTTAAGCATGACTCTTGATCTTGGCCCAGGTCATCATCTCACAGTTCGTGAGTTCCAGCCCCGCGTCGGGCTCTGCACTGACGGCGTGGATGGAGCCTGCTTGGAGTTCTTTCTCCCTCTCTCTCTGCCCCTACCCCACTCCTGCTCTCTCTCTCTCTTAAAATAAATAAATTAAAAAAAAAAAAAAAAGATCTAAGGGAAAGCAATTCACCCAAGATCACACAGTTTATAAATGGTATGATCCAAAACCATACAGTTGAGTTCTAGAATCTGTGCTCTTTTTTTAAGTTTATTTATTTATTTTGAGAGAGACAGAGAAAGAGCAAGAACGGGGAAGGGCAGAGAGAGAGAGAGAGGGAGAGAAAGAGAATCCCAAGCAGGCCCCGTGCTTCATCACAGAGCTGGAGGCAGGGCTTGAATCCACAAACCATTAGATGATGACCTGAGCGGAAACCAAGAGTCCAACACTTAACCAGTTGAGCCACCCAGGCATCCCTAGGATCTGTGCTCTTAACCTCTGTGCTAGACTGCTTCTCACAGGGTCCTCTTTATCACCACCCTTATCATCATCTGAGAATTATTTTGTTGACTTGGAAATGACCTATCTCACTCCCCACGGGAAGGTAAACTAAGAAGACTGATGAGTTAATATGAATGAAGAGTTTAGCACAACGCCTCAAACAGCCAGCACAAGATACATTCAAATTAACATCATCAGCACTAGCACAAGATGGCATGAATAAGGACGGTCGGTCAGAGCATCTATAGTAGAAGCAAAATCTGGAAACAACCTCAAAGTCTCTCAGCAGAGTAATGTCTAAAGCCAAGAATGCACTTCCGTTAATACATAACACTACACAGAAGCCAGATTAACATGTATCGACATGGACGAAACACGGATAAGTAAAAAGGACGTTGTAGAACCATTCAGATCATACCATTTACGAACAAAAAGATACACATCACTTTTTGGTGGCCAGGGAATAAATCACACCCCTCCAATTCCCCCCCCCCCCCCCCCCCCCCCCCCGCCTCCGTCCATTACACACACGAAAAGATCCGAAGCACCGGCTGTTCAGAGATTTCCCTAAGGGAGTGGGTGGGAGAAGCCAAGGGTGAGAAAGTGTGGGAGAGAAGAGGATGTCAAAGGGGACTTTGGCTTTATCCAGTTTTACATTTCGTACGTATTTAGGCATTACTGCTGTAAGACAATTTGTTCTTTAAATGCCACCACGTGAGCTCAGCATTCTTCCATCCATACGTTCACCCCCGCTGCGTCCAGAGGTCAGAGATCACTGCCTACCCGGGACGGCAGAGGAAACAAACACACGCCTAAAGCCTGCGCAAGGGATCAGAGTTCCGACTCAGCCCTTCCCTCACACCCCGGCACCTTTTCCTTTTCCTCATAGCTGAGAGGTTTCCCGGGAGGCTCTTCCATCGGGCCGCGGCCGAACGGAAGGAACAGCCGTCGCCGGCCCCGGGCCTGCAGACACGAGGATGCCCGCTGGCCTTGGGCCCCGGAGGCACCCGGGAAGGAAACTGCGCCCGGGATCTTCCCCAGGGCGCTACCAGGTGGCACATGCGGGCTTGGCGCGCCCTCACCCACAGCCAATTACATCCACCGCTTAGCCTGCGCATGAGCAGCCGGAGACGGCCGAGTAAGGGAGCGGGGCCGCCTAGAGGAGAGCCGAGCTGCGGATGAGAGCGCCGGACGCCCAGGGCGGAAGTGGAGGAGCGGCCGGAAGTAGTCTGAATCCCAGTCAGACTGACCGGCTGGCGGCTTTGACAGGAGCGGGAGCTGCGGAAAGAAGTTGGTGGCAATGGAGTTGGGCGAGCTGCTTTATAACAAGTCGGAGTACATCGAGACGGTGCGCTTGTCCAGGCATCTTTCTCCCGTTTCCAAGCCTGCCTCCCTTTGAGGCTGGTGCCCCCCTCCTGCCCCACCCCGGGTCGCTTTGGCGTTTAGTCCGAGATTACATAGGATCACTTCGTGAATGGCTCAGCTTTGTTACTTATTCCCTGCATGGCCAGTTTAGGCTTTTTAAATTTATTCATGATTTCATCGTAGAGATAAAATGCCTTCCAGAAAGCAGGATACGTCTCATCCACCCTAATACTAATAGCAATTCCAGGCTTCGGGCCTTTCAGAGTTTTTTGTTTTTTGTTTTGTTTGTTTTAAGCTAATGTGTCGTACTTTGCTACCATGTGCTAAAAGACTGTTAGGTTCTTTGGAGTCAATACATGATGCGTGTAAATTGCTCCAGGTAGGGTAAGTGCTGAGTCGTCGTTGCTATTATTATTTCTTTACTGAATTCTTGTACCTCTGATATGGGTAAAGTCATTATCCTGGATTTAGGGCTGTAAGTATAGAACTGAGACTTGAATCAATGTCTCTAATATTAGTAGGCTCTAGACCTACCACATCCAAATTCTGGATCCATTCCTGGAGTCTCCAGTTTCCTAATCCATCCTTGCTTTGTTAATTTGCCGGACTCATTCCATTGAAGACTACATCACATTTCAAGTACGTTTCTCTCCAATACAAGAGCTTTCCAGATGGAAACTTGTAGCCCAGAACCCACTTAGTTTCTCACCCCTATTTTCTGCTCTTTCCTTTCAGGCATCTGGAAACAAAGTTAGTCGCCAGTCTGTGTTGTGTGGAAGTCAGAACATCGTTCTCAATGGCAAGGTAAGAGACACAGCCAGCCCCAGGATGCATACTTTTGCTTTCTGTCCACTAATTATCACATTAGCAGGACAGATAATATGTTACCACATCTCCCATTTGTTGCTATGCATTTAAAAATTCTCTTTTTGGGGGGCCCCTGGGTGGCTCAGTCAGTTAAACCTCTGACTTTGGCTCAGGTCATGATCTCGCAGTTTGTGGGTTTGAGCCCTGTGTCTGGCTCTGTGCTGACAACTGGAGCCTGGAGCCTACTTCAGCTTCTGTGTCTCCCTCCCTCTCTCTGCCCTCCCCTGGTCACGCTCTGTCTCTCTCTCAAAAATAAATAAACATTAAAAAAAACTTACTAAAAATTTTCCTTTTTTCATTCTCCAAATTCTGTTGAATACAAAAAAAGATTCCATGAAAGAAGGCAACAGAAAACCTTTTTTCTTTATGCCAGGAACAAAATA